AGAGGTAGAGACACCTTAATTTGGCATTGGAACAAGAAGGGTGTGCTTTCTGTGAAGGAGGTTTATAAAAGCATTATGGAGAGATGTTTTCGTTTGATTTTTGAAAAAGGTTCAAGCTCCTTCCCAAAATCATTGAATAAAATGTGGAAGGTCACATGGAGCCTGCCCATCAAACAGAAGATCCAAACATTCTTATGGAGGTGCTGGTTTATATTTTTAAGTACAAAAGCCAACCTGGTTAAAAAATATGTGATTGACGAAGCCATGTGTGAAGCATGTAGAGAGAAAAATAATAACCTTGGACATTTTCTCTTTCATTGTCCCATTGCTGCAAGATGTTGAAAACTAAGTGGGCTGGTGTGGTGTCATCTGGAGAACAAACAAGCTTTCTTTCAAAATTGGTGGGTAGAAATCACACTAGGCAAGAAAGGGAAATTCATGGTGGACAGACTAAATCTGCAGCTTGCATTGTGTGGAATATATGGAAAGCTAGGAATGATTGGGTTATGGCTAAAAAGAAATGGCTTGAAAAGAAGTGGTAGATAGAGCATTTGTAGACTGGCAGAAGCTCTTTTCTTTGTCTGAGGTGGGGTATCAAGGAGTTTCAGTCTCCTCTACGCTAAGTAACACTCATCTAGAAAAATATTTGAAGAAGGTAGGACAAAAAGAGTTGTTTGTCACTTTCTTATGTTCTAATGAGGGTCGCAATGTTTTTTCCTGTAAAGCTGTGATGAACTTTCAAGAGATACAAAGCTGGGGATGGGAACAACCTTCTTCGAGTACTAGGATAGAAGAAACTCTGTTGGGTGTCAAATGGAGTCTTGATAAGGCTTTGTGCTTAAACTGGAAGAAGCTTATTTCACAGATCAAGAAGTGGTGGACATGTTGTTTAATACTCAGGATGTATATACCCATCTCCTTAAGGATGTTGTTGTTTTTAAGTCTCTTGTTAACTTTGCTTTGTCTTGTCGCTTTAGCTTTGTTCCAGGCGTAGAGTAGGTATTGTGTTGTTTGTCTTGCGGTTCAGGGTAGTCTTGTAAGTTGTCCTGTGAGTGTAGCTTTGACTAGTGTTAGCTCGGTTATATCTTATTGCAACCATTGGTTGTACGGTTGTATGAACTTCTTATTTTGAGTTTTATATTATCCGTTTATCAGTTTGAAAAAAAAAAAAAGAGAACTTATTGCACTCTTAATAATGAGAGAGAGGAATGTAATAAATTATATTAGTGATATAGTAGTAAATTAATACCCGTTGTTTTTCCTCCTAACCCCTTTTATGGAGGAAAAGATATATGTTGGAGGAGAGGGAATTGGGATAAAAAAATTTCTATCTACAATATTATTATATATTTTTTTTTGGCCCAATTTAACTATGAAAGTTCGAGCTTGATTCGTACATTTACTTAAACAAGTCAAGCTTGAAAAAATAATCGACGAGCTGAGCCGAGCTCTTTTGCGAGCATCTCCTATACTTTTATACTTTTTTTATAGATATCGAATGAACAATAGAACCAGACGTTTTAACAAATGCACTAATATAATGGCGTGGTGAACAACTCATTTATGATCTTAGGTTTGTTAAACTAACTGAGTTGAGTTGAATCGTGTTTCACGAGTTTAAACGAGACAAACGCGAGCCTAGCCTTTGGCTTGTTTATTCAATGAGCTAAGTCGAGTCAACTCATATTTTAAATGAGCACAAGCTTAAATGCAAAGGGTCACTTAGTATTAAGTCAAAACTAATCAAAATCAGTTTTGACTGGATTAGTTTTTTTGCTTACTTTAACTCAAAATTTTATTCAATTCCCTTATACTCAATATTATTAATCTAACTAAATAATATTAATCATCTCTTTCCTACATCACATCAACTTAAAATCACTATTCATCCACTTAGGACACCCGCATTGCACCCGTTTTATGGGCGTTTAAATGACCCCCCTCATTTAACATGGATGCGAGTCATCCATTAATTAGGGGGCCCATGTTGCTGTTCAATGTATTGAGCGACACTTTTTTGTTGCTTTTTCTTTATTTTTTATTTTTGTTTTTAGTTAATTATTTTGGTCAATTTTTTTCTTTTTATATATTTAATTCAATTTTATTTATATCACACTTTCGAAATTGATAAATTTAAATTTTATTTATATCATACTTCCCAACATGTATCAATAATTTACATTTTAAATCTCCCATTCTTTTTATGCCTATAAAATACACCTTACTCAGTTTTACAATTTTCTTGCACCAATTTTTTTTTCTTCTACTATTTTTCATTTGTAATCTTAATTTACGTTTTTTATAATCTAATAATATTTAGTGTATTTCTACATTTAAAACTTAAGTGTTTTAATTAAAAATATATTTATTTTATTAAGAATAGAATATAAAATAGTATTTAATAATTGAGTAATGAGTCCTATATGCTTGTATTTAAATTTTAAATGAATGATTGAATATATGTGAGTGTGTTTAAATTGAGAGATGTGTAGTAGAAATATGACTGAAGATGATGTGGACGACAGATAGTGTAAATTGTGATTGAATGAATGTTAAGGGATGTGCACGCCCTTACATATTTTTAACTACTTATCACTTTCGTCATCTCTATTACATTTGTATCACTTCAACAATAATAATTATGCTTTAAATATTATTTAAGTACAATATATGTCATCTCATTTAATCAACTTTATTCAAAATAACTTCGATAAATTTTGATTGATTTTTACCTCCTTCAAAAAAAAAA